TGGGATGCAGATTAAATATAAAGAAGGCCAAACTAATGACAACAGTACAGCTGTCAGCCTTAAAATTGACAAAAAAGATATTGAATTAGTGGAGAACTTCTGCCTTTTGGGATCAACCATCAACAGTCAAAGTCAAGAGATACACTGCAGGCTAGCCCTTGGTAGAACAGCCATGAAGGTCTTGAAAAAGATACTCAGATGCTGGAATGTGTCTATACCTACAAGGATCAGAATAGTGCAAGCCCATGGTTTTCCTTATGACGCTTTATGGAAGCCAAAGTTGGAGTCTGAAGAAACAGGATAGAAGGAGCATTGATGCTTTTGAACGTTGGTGGTGGAGAAGACTCCAGAAAATACCACAGATAGCCGGGGGAGGGGGAATGGATCATCCAACAAATCAACCCAGAGTTCTCCCTCCAGACAGAAAAGACCAAGCCCAAACTATCATATCTTGGACACATTCTGAGAAGAGCCACCTCACTTGAGAAGCCTACAGGTGGAAGGAAAGAGAAGCGGACAGCGAGCAGCAAGGAGGCAGACTTGATTATGGCAGCGGTGGGTGCATTGTTGGAAGACTGGAAGGGCCAAGCTGGAGACAGATTATCCTGGAGAGGTCTATTTATGTGGTCACTAAGTCAAAACCAACTTGATAGCACATAATCAAAAAGTAATAGACTGTTTCTAAGCTCTGGCTTACTACAATTCCCCAGCTATTGTTGTGGCACACAGCGGCTTTTGACTAAAAGCTCTTCACACGTATCATTCCAATGCACGTCTGCCCTTAGGCTATACGGGACCTTTCACTTTCCAGTGCTTCAAGCAACAAAACCACCTGGAGGTCTCCACACCAAGACACCTCTTTGAGCCAGGTGGCTACCATGCAGGAAAACATCGCCAGAAAATCTGGAAGCAATCAGCTGCAGTGGGGGAGGAGGGCAGCTGAAAGCGCAACCACCCTGTCAAGAGCACCCCGTCAAAAGAAATGACAAAATGGCCCTTCGGTGAAAAGGGAGGGATTCCCAGTGTGTGTGAGACTGCAAAAGTCTCTTTGTTAAACCCTGCAGAAGGGAGGAAAGTTGCATCAAACTCAGGAGGGGCGCGAATGGCCCATCATGGGGCGAAGGGGGGGCAGAAAGGCTGTGGACGAACAGCAGGGGTGAGCTGAACGTTGCACTGTGCTTTCTGTTTTGCATGAAAACCAGGGCTAGGATCGGAGCATCCAAGCTCGATTCACCCTGGGGGCTTTATCCCGAGCTACCATTCCAAATTAAATCCCAAAGGTTTGGCTCTCGTCCCCCGCTCCCAACCTCCGCAGCTGAGGAACAAAAGAAATTCCCAAGTAATGTTTGTATCTCGTCTGGAAGACAGATGTCAGAAATGGGGAAAGAGCAAGAGGGAGAAAAGGAAGAAGGGGGTCTTCAACAGTCAAGGAAGACGCTCCCCGCCCAGCGCAGACCTCTGGGGCCTTCGCTGCGTCGCAGTCACACATCCACTTATCCGCACGGGCTGCCGCTTTGTAAGAATAAATTACATTATAATTGCAAGGAGAAGTGAAAAGTGCTCCTGAAGATAATCAGCTAAATTTAGAGACCTTTTCAGAGACACGTGCAGACGACAAATGGAACAAGTGGCCCTTGCTTGGCGACGCGGCGCTTGTAATTTCCCACTGGTTTAATTTGTTGCAAAGTAGGCCACGGAGAGACGCTGGCCCTAGTTCTGAACTTGGCCAAGGAGCAATTAGAAACGCCGTTTCTGCTCAACCGGCAGAGTTCCGCCTGCGTCCAAAGGCTCAACGGGCACGGCCTTCGGGCGCTCTGGCAGCAAGAGAGGCGATTTAACGTCCATCCGGTACAAAAATGCGTGCCCAAGGAAATGGCACAGACGACTGTAGTAGGTGTTTTCTTCAGCCCTGGATAAATCCAGCTGGAGGATGCAGTCAAGTTAGAAGGGAAACAGAAATATACCTTTCTTAAAATAATCTGAGGGCCTGAGCGTAACCACAGTGCAAACACATCTCCAAGAATAATTTCAACTTCCACTTGCAACAGAAATTATGACTAGCAAAACCGCCACGCTCTTCTGCTTTATCGGCCCCGGTTCCCTAGGACTGCCGGCGGACCCTTCAGAGACGCCACCTGAGCCCTTCCTCTCTCACCAAGCAAAGCTCTCAGCCAAGCATAGTTGGGGGCCCGGGGCTCTGTCACAGAACGCCCAAGACTTATCCGTAGCTGAAAAATATTCAACAAGGTCCTTCTCATTTTTCACAGAGGGTATTACCTTCCGCCACTCTCCTGCACCGTTCTGGAACAACTCCACAGGGGAGAGACAGAAGTTTGGGACCCATCTTATGGTGCAAGGGCCCTCCCAAAATCTTTCCTCAGTTGCTTCCCCATTTTTGAACCCTTGGCCTGACCTCGTGGCCGACTCCCAACGCTGACTTGGTGCAGTGGCAAATATTCTCTGCCAGCCCTCCTGTTGCCCCGACTGCCCTGGCACGTGTCACGGGGGATCACCTTGGCTACCAGGCCCTGCTGCAGAAGCGTTGGACATAAGAACAGACCCCCTGCAGAAAACCACCTGTTGCCTCCTCCCTGCTGGTTGTTAATTACTCCTGACACTGATCTGATAATTGCTATTATTAATTATATTAATGAGCGCTGCTCAGAGCCCCAAGTGAATGGTGCAGCAGAGACAGAGCTCTCCGTCTTCAAAGAGCCAAAAGGCTTGCAGAAGGAGGGAAGGCACCGGAGCGTTTATCTGCCCGTTTTGGGGGGGAGGGAAGCTGCTTCCAGAAACCGGCTCGGCTCTCTCCTTGCTCACCAGGATTAGTCACTCGCCAGCCACCTTCAGACAAAGCTGGTACCCAAAACAGAAATCGCCTGGAAGACCCTGTCGTGCTTACAGAACGATGCTCTAGCCAAAACAGGACAACCGCATGCCACAGAAGGAAACACCGCCTCCTCGGGGTGCATTTCGTAATGTTGCGGTGAGGGATTAAAACTCTCGCATTCCAGTTAACTCCATGCGCTGGCCAGGAGTTGAGGCTCTGTGTGCCACACGTGTGACCATGCAAAAGGGGGCAGGGGTTCAATCATACAGTGGCACCCACCAGGTTGACTTTTTTTGCACGTAATACCCCTGCAGGGTGGGACAGGTCATAATCGAGATTAAAAAAGCAACGTTCAAAATTCTCTTGCCAGGGGAAAAGAGGGCCAAAAATATTGAATGAGATCGAGACCTTCCTCCGGCAACAAAACAATGAAATGTGCAAGTATAGGGTGGGCATGCAAGTGTGTGTGTGTGTGTGTTGCCTGGCTTCCTAATAGGATTTGTGAGAAAGATCGAACAATTGAGTGCAAACTAAGTACGAGTCAGCCGTGCAGCACGGCTGTTGTAAAAGCAGTTGCAATCTTAGACTGCGTCCACAGACATAGTTACCAAATTATGGGAAATAACAGTTCTTCTTTATTCTGCATTGGGCAGGCCCCACATTAAGAGTTGTGTCCCACTCTGGAGTCGGTCGAAAAAGTCAAGATGGTGGCCACCATCATGTGATCAAAGCCCACCCCTTTTTAATGTGCAGTGTTTAACCCACCCTCCAGGAGTCTGTAGGATGTGGCTTTCATCCTGTCCAACATCTCTTCTCCATTTCTTTCCCACCCCCCAAACTCCCCACCCACCCACAAGACCTCCATCTTGACCAGCTTGGTTTGTTAAGTTTACACTGCTTACATCAGCAATGTAAAATGAGAGACAGACTCCTGGAGGTTGGGTTAGATCAGTGTTTCTCAACCTTAGCGACTCTAGGAAATGTGGGCTTCAACTCCCAGAATTGGGAGTTGGCTCCCATGGCTGGCTGGGGAATTCTGGGAATTGAAGTCCACACATCTTAGAGTTGCCAAGGTTGAGAAACACTGGGTTAGATGTTAAGAATCTTGCAGAGCAGAGTTGAGCAACTTCAGTATTACTGAAAACGCTGCTCTCCGAAGGCGCCATCCGCCTCCCTTCCTCGTGGCTCCCCGTCCTCCAGTTATCCGGCACCTTGATGGGGGAACTTGTACGCTGCAAAGGCAATGCTCTTCCCAAAGGGGAAAAGGCAGCCTCGCGGGCTGCTAAGGAATGCCAGATCGCAGAGGAAGGGCCAGTAGCCACGGACTACCTTTACAGGCAAGCAGGGGATGGGGACAGAGGCCAGGCCTCGCTCAAGGATGCGTACATTCGCTGGCCACAGGACCGATGAGTGTTCCCAGCACGTGTGCAAAGCGTACGGTTTTTCCTGGCTGGGAAGGGACACAAACCACGAAGCAGTTTTTGGAGGAGGAGAGCCGTGTCAGTCTAGGGTGGAAAAAACGCAGGAGTCTGGTAGCGCCTTTTCCAACTAACTGAGTTGGTTAAAGGGCATAAGCGCTGGAGAGCTTATGCCCTTTAACCAACTTCATTAGTCGGAAGAGACGCTACCAGACTCCTGCGTTTTAGGCAAGAAGCAGCGTCTGATCATCCGACTAACAGCACCTCTTATGCTCCCAGCACAAGCAAACGTCAGAGCCAGGCGTCCTTGGCAGAGCAGACCAACAGAAATGCGATTCATTTATTTGTGTTTATTTTATTTATTTATTTGTATTGTTTATTTATTTATTTGTGTTTTAATTGGGGGGTATTTATTTTTTATTGTTTTTAGAGTCTTGGTTTTTAATTGTGAGCCGCCCGGAGTCACCCTCTGGGGGAGATGGGCGGCATATAAATCTAATAATCGATAAATAAAATAAATTCAAACACCAGCAGGGAAACTGAGCCCAGAAGTCCAGCAGTTAATCCCCCCTGCCAAGGGAGCCTGTTTTCCAAGCGTCACTTCCGCTTCCATGGGTCACTCTTCCCCCCCCCCCAAGAGGCCAGACAGGGTTCAGGGCCCGGCCTGGAACAGCCTGGGAGGTGGGGAGGCAGGTGCCCCCACCAGCAGGCCCAGCATCTACTTCTCGCTTCTTCAGACGTCGCCACGTTACCTTTCGGCTTCCTCCTTGACAATGGCAAACTGAGAGGGCTGCCGGTTGGGCCGGTTCTGCTCCGGGACCTTCTCTCCGCCCTCCGGCTCCTGCTCCAGGGAGGAGCTGGTGCTCCCTTCCCGGCTGACATTGGTGCTGCGCCCGGGGCTGTTCTCGGTGGAGGCCCGGGGCGACTCGGTGTTCTGCTTCAGCGTCTGGAGCTTTGCCAGGGGAATGATGTCGCAGTTCTGCGGCCGGTGCCACACCGTCCGCTGGGTGGTGGCATTGTAGTAGTAGAAGCGTGAGGTGTTGGGGTCAAAGAGTTCCCACCACTGGTTCTCGTTGGTGCGCTTGATGCGGACGCCGGCAGGCGGGTCCCAGACGCACTCGCCCGTGATCAGGTTGGCGTACATGCGCTCCCGCGTACGAGGTTCAATGATTTCCACCCATTCCAACCTGCAGGGACCAACCATAAGGAGAGAGAGTTAGTAGCTGGCATTTCTCCCTGGCAGGAGCAGGACTGGCACAACGCTTCGGGGACCGAGGCACGGCTTATGGGTAAGCAGGTGGGGTGAACCAGCTTTCATGTTAAGCAGCCACAGCACGGTTTGCTCTGCTAGTTGAAACCGGAATTATGTTCTGTTACCCTGGCTTTAGCATCTTGTGTGAAGCCGGGTGGTGTGCAAGTTCAACCGAAGACAAGGATTATCTTGAAAAACATAACTTGTACGACATAATCTAATGCACCAAAACCAGCTGCTTCCACAACTGGCCTTACATTATACAATCACCTCCCTTATGTGGTACTTGCGTGGCACACCAGTCTTTTCCAGTCAGGCACCCCTCGACCATGTTAGATCGAGGAGCATCCACAGAGTAAGTGTGTGTCGCTGTCAAGACTGTCTTGACAGTGATTGAAGCCCAGCTCTTTTCATGTGCATTGCGCATGCAGGCATGGCTGTCATCTTGACTTTTTTGACACACCCACACGCACTGGCAGACACCCCTGGTTACTCCAGAATTTTTACTGATGGCAACTGCCACCCTTCTCAACCCACTTGGTGGGAGACAAGTTGGTGAAGGGAGCAAAACACTACCGCAACCTTGAACATCAGCAGAAAAAATAAGAGAGTTTAAAACACCTTCCAGTTGAATGATTGTGCTCCGAGGAGATGAAATTCTGGAGTTTAGTTTTGGATTCTAAAAGCAGATGCTTCAAACTAACGTCTATCCCCCCTGTCCCCAGTACAAACAAACACCAGCAGATACCCCATCCGTTAATTGGGGCCTCCCTACTGTTTTATTATTATTTTTTCAGGAAGCAATAGAGTTTTGTTTTGGGTTTTTTTATCTCAAGCTATGAAAGGGAGGAAATTGTGGGAGATGCACATCCAAGACCACAGGAAAAGCAGAAACAGAACAAAAATAAAACTTCTAACTTCGAAGCTGGCACCACATAAGTTGGACGTGCCATTGCTGGTTGGAAGCAAGGAATGGCAGAAACGTAGCTTTGAAAGCAGCCTTGTCCTGAACAGCTGTGACACAGACGACAACAAGAGGCCTGAGGTCTTCTAGACCAGTGTTTCTGAACCTTAGCAACTCTAAGATGGGTGGACTTCAACTTCCAGAATTCCCCAGCCAGCATGGCTGGCTGGGGAATTCT